CCTCCTATACTTGGATATCTGATTCCTTTAGGTTTGGGAAGTTTTCAGTCATGATTTCTTCCAATACCTTTTCAATCCCCTTTGTTCCTTCTTCCCCTTCTGGAACCCCTATTATGCATAGATTGGCATGCTTTGTATTATCCCATAGGTCCGTCATGTTGTTTTCATTGTTTTTTTGTTTGTTTGTTTTTCTCACAGCTGTTCTGATTGGGTGCTTTCTGTTGTCCTGTCTTCTAGGTCACTTATTCGTTCCTCTGCATTATCTAGTCTGCTTTGTACAGCCTTTAGGTCAGCTCTCATCTCAGCAAATGAGTTTACTATCTCGGCTCTTCTTTATAGCTTCTATTTCATTTTTGACATATTTTATATCTCTAAACACTATTTCCTTTAGTTCCTTCAGTACTTTGATCAGTCGTTTTTTGAAATCTTGATCTAGTAGGCCATCAATGTCTATTTTCTTGATCGTGCTTTCAGGGGATTTCTCTTGATCTTTTAATTGGGAGTGGTTCCTCTCCTTTTTCATATTGCTCATATCTGTCTGGCACTGTGGCTTAAGGAGTATCAGTTGTCTAGTTCTCCTGGAGACGGTGTGCTCTTAATGATTTTATTGAGAGGTTTTTGTGTCTTTGCCCTGTTTTGCGAACTCAGCTTGCTGTTTCCCGAGGCCCTCTGCTGGCGCCCTCATCTGTGCTGCTCTCAGTGGCTGTTGGCTAGCAGATCGCGCCCCCTCCCAACACTGGGTCAGGAGCTGAGCTCTTACCCGGTAGGCGGCCAGGTCACTCCCCTTCCAATGCCACAGTCAGATGCTACGCTGGGGCGAGGCAGGTGGGCGGATCGTGCCCCCTCCCAGCACCATGGTCAGGTGCTGCGTTCCTGCCAGGAAGGCGTGTGGCGGCCCACCCTCTCCCAGCGCTGGTTGCTCCACTGCTCTGTGCAGCTGCCTGCTCCGCCTTGGGTCGGCGCCCCGAAGGTGGGCTCGGGGAAGACCGCAGAATGGCCCCGCCCCTGCTCTGTGCCAAATCTCAGCTCCTTGTTTGTCTTGGTGACGCGAGTTCTCTGAGGTGTCAGGGCAGAAAGATCCTATCTGCCTCGAGCTGCAAACAAGTCTCAGTCCTGCCTAGGAAGTTGCTGACCACCCCCCCGCCACACTGTGTGGATTCAGGCCTTGGCCCCGCCCCCGCCCAGGCGCCTCGCACAGGAGGCGATGGTGGCTGTGGCCGTGCCTGCATCTCTTCTCACAAGAAGTGCCAGTAATGGCGGCTCAGGTCTGAGAAGACAAAGGCTACAAGCACCTCTCCCCTCAGGGCACACCGGCCGTGTTGCTTCACTTTTTTTAACAATTTATGGTGGATCGAGGTTGTTCTCCGTATCCCCTCCCAGCCATGGTGCGCAGCCCCCTGCAGTCCCCCAGGGCTGCCGCAGTGCAGCCGCCCTGTCCTCCGCCTGGCTGGGGTGGCCTGTCTCAGCCCCAGCTGCTGGCTGGTGTTGCGGGGACCCTCTGTGCCCGTTTAACTCAGTTCTGTCGGTCAAGGGGTGCTCGGGGCAGATCTGAGCCTTGGAGGCTTCCTCTTGGTCCCACTGGCCTCTCCGTTGGGGGGGGTGGACCCAGTGAACAAGTGCCAGTCCTCCTTTGCTACTCCCTCCCCGCAGGATTGGTCCCGCAGTGTTTTGCTTTTCCTTCTTTTTTTTTTTTTTTTTTTCCTTTTCTCCTACCAGATTTTTGGTGTCTTTATCTTTCAAAGAGGGCGCTGTTCTGTCAGAGTTCAGCAGGTGCTCTGGTTGGCTGAGTAGGTCTGTAGATGTGAGTTTTGGTGTCTTTGTGGATGAAGGTGAGCTACAAGCGTCCTTCTACTTTGCCATCTTGCTTTGTATCCTCCCCACTTTTTTTTAATCATAATATTATGCCTATTGCTGTAAGCTTTCCTTCTTGACAAGGTCCATATCTCTTTAAAGGATGATGTATTTTTCTTTTAACATGGTTCCTGGCATAATGGTTGTTTAGTAACTATTCAAATAATAAGTGGATGGGAAACATCTCTTCATTTCTGATGATAATTATCACGACAGATAATTCTTGTAAATTTTTAAAAAGTTTAATCTAACATTCACTTAACAGTATTTACTGAGTGCCTACTGTGTGCCAAACCCTGGCAAGTGAACTAGCTTATAAAACACCTGGTTCTTATGAGAGATATAGATGTCGTTGTTAGACTTGTTGGCCAGTATTATGCCTATTATTTAAATATCTAGACACTCAATTTATTCATTTTATGCTCATTAAAAACAGGAGAATAAACTTTATGCAGTTTTTGCACGTAAAGTAACATTTACTTAGTTATAAACGATTGAGTCAAAGGATTGTCTCAATTAGAAAAGGAAGTCATGGTTTGGTAGATCTGTTTCAAACTGTGTGACTCAGTAACGGCTTCTCTGTCAACAAATTGTGTTTTTCAACAGTTTATGACTTACTAGAAGTTTGCATAATTAGTTTTATGTGCCCTTCACCCAACTACCCCTGCAGTATCCTGATAATTATAACATGTCGTCAAAGCCAGGAAAATGATGTTGGCACAACAGCAACTCAGTGCAGATTGAAAGCTTTTGTAAAATAGCTTCTTGTTTCCTGTGCAGGTCTTCACGTCACTGCCGCCGTTCACTCTGGGCATCTGTGAGCAGTGCTGCAGTCAGGAGAGCCTGCTCAGGCACCCACAGCTCTACACGGTTTCTCAGACAGGTGATACTTTCAACATAAAGGTAAGCAGAAGATTTAGTGCGGGTCTGTCATCTCGGCCTCTCTCCGAGGTACCTTGGTCTCATCCCTTTCCGATGCTTTAGGAAAAATAATTTAAAAAACACAACGAATGTAGCCCTGTGCCGTCTTTCTGTGTACTCTACCCAATGTTCCATGAGTCTTGAGGTTTTCCAATTCGGCAGTAGCTCTTTTTGAACCAGTTTCTTAAGTTCTTTCCCCTAAAAACTGCTTTACTCCGGGAAATTTGAGTCACAGACCAGGTAAGTTCTTTCCACATTGTTTTCTTCTCCATCTGTGAGTCTTCCTGGCGAGCGTGAAGATGACCGGGGTGTTTAGAACTGAGAGAACAGACTGGTTTCTGTTGTCGTTCTGTCATCGTCTGACCATTGTACGTCCTTGTCTGACTGCTCCCAGAGATTTTAGGTCTTTGAGATTTCCTCTAAGAAAACTGTAGAGCTATACCTTGTTTGATTGCACTTTGCAGATACTATGGGTTTTTTTTGTTGTTTGTTTTACAAATTGAAGGTTGATGGAGACCCGTGTTGTCAGATGATGGTTAGCATTTTATTTAAGGTGTGTACATTGGTTTCTTAGACACAATGCTATTTAACACTTAAGAGACTGCAGTATAGTGTGAACGTAACTTTGAATGTACTGGGAAACCAAAACATTCATGTGACTTGCTTTGCTGCAATAATTGCTTTATTGCGGTGGTCTGGAACCAAACCCACAATATCTCTGAGGCCTGTCTGTATATGGTCTATTAAAAATTGTTTTGACCAGAGTCAAGGTTCAGATGTAAAGGAGCAGAGTGTATCATATAAAATATGGTATTAAATTATATTTAAAGTGCTAAAATTTAAAGATTGAAAATACTTTCATTATTTCTTTTTAAAATGTTACTTCTGCTTCTCTTTTGTTGGATAATTTAAGCCTTTACAATTTTTTTTATAACAAATATACTATATTTGAGTTCTACACATTTATTTTTAATAAGTTTGCTTTTCAAACAGTATTATCCTATAATTTCACAGTCTTTCTTTAAAAATAGAATAAAGAAATGTGATTTTTCAGTCTTTAGGAAAACGTTTTAGTTTTGTAACTGCTTCACACAACAAATTTACTTTATAATGTCGCATAGTTATAGATTTAGACCAAAGTACTATCTTGCCTTTCTTGCTTTGTTTTCTTTTAGGTCCTTTGGATTCAATGTGTAAACGCTTTGGTCCACTCCTTCATTCTCTTCTGGTTGCCCACAAAAATGCTGGAGCATGGTAATTGCTTCATTGTTTCAAATATTCAGCAAAGAACACCTTATTCTCAGTGGAGTCAACATGTGTGTGTGTGTGTGTCTACAGAAAGAACTGAAGAATACAAAAATAGTATTTAGAAAAGATACATATTCACCTAAATCTCACAGTATAATCTGGTTAACAGGTGGCCTTTAGGGCCCATTCTCTTTGCCTCTCACATGTATAAACTGAGCATTGGTGCTTTTATTGGTAACTTTTACTGAGTGTTTGAGTCAGGAGATCTGATGGAAAGCACAGCGGCTCTGATGGGTCACGGACTTCCCCTGTCAGCAAGCTTGACACTTATGTCTGCTTTATTGTTTTCTTTTCCCAAGCGTCATGCTTCCATTCAGACTATAATACAAATCTAGCAAGATCATATAGAAATTTAATCTTATATTTTATTATTGGACTTAGTCTCCTTTTGCTGACTTACAATTTTCTAAATAACACTATGTGTGAAGTTTTTTTTTTTTGCCAAACTGACTTGTGTATAACACACCAGAGTACGAGATGTGTTTCTAGAGTATGTTATTGGTGTTTAGTTGGTCCACAGCCACAAATTAAGGTGTGAAATAGAATTATTTTCCTGTAACCAGATTTATTGATAGTCTCAAAAGACCAACTTTGGTCTCATTGATTTTGTATAGTTTCCAGTTTTCTGTTTGCTTCATTTCTACTTCTATTTCCTTTCCTTCTGTTTAATTGAATTTTCCTTGCTTCTTTCCCTGCTTGATCTTGGAAGGTAGGTTGTTGATTTTACTGCTTTCTTCTTTTCTAACATAAGAATTTAAAGCAAATCTAATTTTCTTTTAATTTAAAGCAAAAGAATTTTCTTTCAAATTTTGTCAGAAGGCTTTATTTTGCCTTCATTTTTGAGAAAAAAATTTTTGCTAAGTATCCTATTATAGGTTGATAGTTCATTTTCTTCAACACTTTAAAAATGTTGGTTCCTTGTCTTCTGGGTTGCATTATTTTGTTGAGAAATCTGATATTTCTTATATTTGTTCCTTTTAATGTATTATAACTTATAGCTCTGTGATTTTAAGATTTTTCTCACCACTGACTTTTAGCAACTTGATTTTGATGTGCTTTGGTATGGTTTTGTTTGCATTGGTCTTTCTTGAGATTGCTCAAAATTCTCTGGTTTGTTGATTATAGTTCTCATCAGATTTGGAAAAATTTGCTCATCATTTCTTTACATACTTTTTCTGTTTTCTCTTTCCTCTTCTTCTGGGACTCCAGCTACACATATGGCACAATCCTTGATATTTTACCACATCTCTTCTTCATTTATCCTGTATTTGTTCTCTTTTTAGTTCATTCTTAATTTCTTTTGCCATGTCTTTAAGTTCACTGATCTTTTATTTAGCAGTCTCTCTCTGCAGGTAATCGCAATTCACAGACATTTTTTCTTTTCTGTGTAAATATTTTTCATCCTTAGAAATTTATTTAGTTCTTCGTCTTTTATTCCTCTCTTCATTATGTTCATGTTTTCTTTCAAACCCTCAGATGTAATTATAATATTTATAACAGCGATTTTAAATCTTCTTGTGCTCATTCCAACACCTCTGTTATTTTGGGGCTGGCTTCTGTAGCCAATTTTCTTCTGATATGGGTCAAATACTTTACTTCTTCACGTGTCAGAATTTTATAATGGGTGAGGGATACTGTGAATTGCATGTTGCTGAATATTTTTGTGTGTATATTTAAATACTTAGCCTTGGTTTTGGCAGGCAGTTAAGTTCTCTGTGGATCAGCATGATTCCTTAAGGATTTTTATTCTTTTTAAAGCCAAGTCGATGGTATCTTTCACTTTAGGACTAATTCAATTCCTCTGCTGACATTGTCCCCTCCTTGGGCCTCTACTGCACATTTCATATGTTGAATGAGGTCTCCCCACTTTGGCCCATGGGAATGTGAGCAACTCCTAGCTCCATATTAGATCTGGCGGTTTTTGGCTTGCAGTTCTGGGGTGATTTGATTTTTCCATGGAAGTTGCTCTTTGCTGGCCTTGTGGAATTCTCAGTATACGTATGCAGAATGGCACTCGGCCAGAGACTTATGAGGACCCGTACGCGAGTTTCTGGAGCTCATTCTCTGCATAGTTCCCTCATTTCCAGTGTTCACTTTGCAAATTCCATCCACCGTGGCCTCTTTAAAGCCCTTTCTCTGTCTCACAGACTCAGCAGAAGTGTTGCGCTGTCTGTGGGCTCTTTGTCCCCACACTGTAGTCCCAGATGGGAGGCAAGGGCAGTGGGAGGGCTCACCAGTCCTTTATTCTCTCTCAGGGATCGCTGTCCCTTGCTGCCTTTTACCCAGGGTCAGAAAAACATTGTTTCATATAATTATTTCATGTAGTTCTAACTGACTGTATAGCAAGAGGGGACGTCCTATTACTTCCTCATGGGTAAATGCAGAAGTCCGGGTCTTGCTACTTTTTTGTCCCTTGACCTTGTCACATAGTAAGGAAGGTGAGTATAGTCCTCTGTTACTACATATTTACTTCCCTGTTTATTTCCGATAATCTGTGATTTAGAAGTGTTTGTTATTTGTTGCAGCAGTACTACTAATTATTTTATATTGTGCCATTTGGCCTTATATTGTTCCTTTGTCTTATTTAATTTTTTTTGGCCTCAGTTTCTTCTTAACTAATGTTAATATCGTGTCTCCTGCTTTTAATTTGTACTTTCCTTGGCCATCCTTTACTCTTCAAACTTGATAAATTACTTTTCTTTCTTTCTTTTTTTTACGTGTGTTGCTTGTATACAGTGTAGGATTGGGTTTTGTTTTGAGCTACAATCCGAAACTCATTTTTTAAAAATAGGTTTTGTTTGTGATCTCTTGTTTGACTTTGCATTTTTTATGCAGTGTTTTAATGTATTTTTCTAATCTTTAATTACGTTACTGGCTTTCTTTGGTCTTTTTGTGTTGTCTTCTGATACTCATTTAAGTTTGAATTTTTGTTCTTACGGTTATTTTTATTATAAGTTTATGTAAATACTGCTCTGTTTCTTTAGACAAATCCATTTGTTTCCAAGTATGCTCCTTTTAAAGAGTGTATTTTTTGCTGATGTTTTCTGAGGTCGCTGCCCTCGGCCAGCCTGATGTTTACTTTACCCCAGATCTTTCACCGTTACTTTCCAGGCACAGCCTCCGCGCTCACCTCCGGTGTTTTGAAGCCCTCAACGGCTGTCTGAGTCTGTGGATTTTTTTTTTTTTTGGTCTCCTAGTTTCTGTAACGTAGATTCTGTGGAGGTTTCCTCTGTTTGCACTGTTGATTTTGTATAGTGTGCAGAAGGAAAGCATCCCTTCTGCCCCAGCATAGCTTGTCTTTTTCCTCTCTCCTGGTCAATACGTAACTGGACAATGTAACCCAACATTATCCTCCTCTGAAGTAGCTTCCTTCCCTTTTCTAGTCAGTTACAATTTGGTTCTCATCTAGACTATCACGCCTCTCCTGGGAAAACTCACCAAGTTAGGTCTGTACACAGCCCAGACCCATGACACTCACTCTCCGGGCTGGTCTAACCTGACCCACATATTCATCTACACTTTCCTTCAATCAGATGCCCTAATTTACTACTGCATATAGTTTTAAGAAAGAGTCTAAGCTTTGCATAATTTAGTGAGTTCTAAATCAGAAGAAAACATAAATCAAGAGAATAAGTTAGCTTCAAATACATGGGTGTGCTACCTGCTTTGGTATTTGGGTCAGGGATTTGCACTCCAAAATTGCCACATCAACCCAGACCAGAATCACCAATATTTTTTCGAGAATTTTTAAAAAGTGCAATGAACACCTGAAGAAATCATCCTAATTTTGAGATTGTACTGACCGTTTATATGGAACGGAGTTCATACGTTTGTAGCAGACTTAACAATGGTTAAAAAGAACATGCAATTCTGTTTCAACTTCAAGTTATCTGTTCGGTTTTTTGCTTTAGTTATCATGGAAAAGGGATAGTGTGAAAAACATGATGACAGAATCCTTAATATCCCCGTCTTGTTCCTTAGCATCACTTGTTACTTAACATCGTTGGTTTGTTTCGGATTTTCAGTTTGCAGACTCTGCCAGATGGTTTAGTAGCTGTGTGTGAAACTGGGTTTGATAATCACATTCATGTACTTGTGATTTACTTATTTGTTGCTAAATATATCTTCGGGGGGAGTTAGAGGTGGGAGAAATGTCACAGTTGTGGTAGGCACAGTAAGCACTGTGGTCCCTGACAGAGGACTTGAGAAATGTGACCAGTAATTGATAAATATTTTTGGTGTCCAGTATGGGTACCTTTAGTAAAAATCAATTCAAAAGTCTGTTTCAGATTCTGTAAAGATTAAAAATGACTTTTTCACTTTTCAGACATGGTCTTACAAGGTGGTCACACTACAGACTATCTGTTTCTTGGGAATTTTATTTATACGGTAAGATCAGCCACGTGCGTAGTTACTTTTCCTAGTGTTTCATTTAAAAATTCATGCTTTATAAGACAGTCTCCTATGAAGTTTGTCTCCTTCACACTTCAGTATATTTTCAAGAAGGCACTCTTATAATGGTTGTAAATACATATTATATATGTTTCTAGAAATGGGAAATGCATATATATATATATATATATATATATATATATATACACACACACACACACACACACACACACACACACACACACTTTTTTTTTTTTTGGTTCAAGTCGAGGATACTCTCTGTATCTTACTGTGTCACTATGTAACATGCCTTGGAGATGGATTCAAATCGGCCCACAAACATCTACCTCATTCTTTCAGGGCTGCTTGTATGAATAACCCACCAGTATTTATTTAACCAGTCTCCTGTTAGTGGACATTAAGGGTTTGGGGGGTCCTTTGCCTTTATGAACAGTGCTGCAAAGATGATCCTTTATGCTCATGAGTAAGTATGTCTTAGGGTAAATTTCTAGAAGTATAATTGCTGGATCAGAGGGTATTGTAAATTATGAAAAAACCTTACCAAATTATCCCCAGTAGAGGCTGCACAAATTGGGTGATTAAAAATAGTGGTTTCCCCAAGCGCCCACGGGTGTGGTCTTACTTCGCTTTTTGATCTGGTGGGTGCAGTGATAGCCCATTGCAGTTTTTACTTTGAGGGGAAGCATAGTCACGTGGGGTTACAACCCACGCCCGTTTCTTTTTCTGTAAAATGTTTGTTGAAGCACTTTACCGATAGTTCTATTGCGTTGTTGGTCTTTTTCTTATTAATTATTAATGATTATTTATATGTTAACTTTTCTAATATTTGTTACAAACATATTCTCAGTTTCACTTTTCATGGCATTTTTCATGCATATATTCTCCATGTTAATTTCATGTAGTTAAACTTACCAATATTTTTCTTTATGGCTTCTAAGTTTTGTGTCTGCCACTACTGCTAGTAGTTTCTTATTCATATTTCTAAAAAACCGTAGATGCATATTCAACTGCATGTTATCCCTTTGTATGCAAGTAGGAACATATTCATCTGTGGATTTTGTTTTTTCATTTAACATGGAACAACAAAATCTGCAACTGTTTTTTCCCATGTTTTCTTCTATATAAGAAACAGTTTATCGGCATAGTGCCTTTTGCCACTTGAGCTAGTTGTCTTTGTATTTTCATGTTATTGGTTGTGCTTTTAACTCTATATTGTTTATTCCTGAACATCAGATATGATTAAGTAGTATATCCTTATTTATGTGGACATATGCATAGAACAAGTTTCCTTCTTTTCAGAACCCCACCCCCACCCCACTGTCCTCACCTCTGCCATTTCTTCAGACCTTACCTATTTCTCAACCCCAAGGAAAAAATAAGATCAGATAAGACCTTGTTTCATTCATTCATTAATATTTATTAAGCTTTGTCATGTGCAGAACACTGTGCTGAGTGTTGAACATATGGTGGTAAATCCAACCAAGTCTTCATGAAAATTGCACTCTAGAGAGATAGAATAACATTAAATACACGTATATATACATGCAAACGTACAAGAGATTCCTAGTTTAGATGCCAGAGTAAATCCATCTCACGGAATCTCTGTCTCCTGAGGCAAACAAACAGACAAAACAAATGGTAAAACCAACAACAAAAAAAATCGCAGCAAAATAAATTCACCAAAGCAGCTAAAAAAGGAAAGGGGACTAGAACAAGGCAAAACTGCTCAAAATGTAACGCCAAAGGAGGAGTAAGAGGAGAGCTGGCAGGCTCAACACGGTGAGATAATTAGCCCAGACTTCCCAACACACTGTTCCCAGTGTGAGTGAGTTTGGAGGAAAAAGCTAAGCCAAAGATAAGATAGCCCCAGAGGAGTGGAGGAAGCCTCCAGTAAAGTGCAGTCAGCTTTGGTGATCTGAGGGGATTAAAAAGGGCCACTGGAGGGAAAGCAGAGTGCAAACTATGTGTTGAGCAGGGAGGTTCAGGTAATGGCAAGGATGGGCCTGGAGTGGCAGGCAGGGGCCACTGCCCTGACACTTTTAAGGTTTGGTGGTAGCTTAGAGGAGGGACGGAAGCTTGCTAGAACACTGTGGCTAGAAACGGAGAGGTAGACGTAATCGAAGGCCACTCACTTACCAGTGGCTGCCTGCGAACACACCCTGCAACAAAGTTATACTTAATGAGACATTGAAAGCTTTTTATTTTTTTGAGATTGAGAGTGAGATAAAGATGCTCAGTGTTACCACCTCTCCCCAACATTGTAGTGGGGTTACTAATCCAGAAAGGTCAGGAAGGGAGGGGGGCGGTGTGGATTCCAGTGGAAAACTGTAACACCTTTTTCCACTCTCTTTCCCCTTCCCGTCTCCCCTCACACAGTATGTGGTTGTCACTGTTTGTCTGAAAGCTGGTTTGGAGACACTGTCTTGGAATAAAGTAAGTATTCTTTAGGATGTTTCCTCAATCTGTATAGCTGTTTGTATACTAATTTTCTCTTTAAGTTTTAGGAAAGTATTAGCGTTTTTTTTTTCTGGTCTCATTATTGTTCTTTCTTTTGTTTTGCATGTCTGAGTGATGATTTAAACTGGATGAAGGCATATTAGCGATCTGAGGTCTTTAGAATTTTCATTTTCCTGCCTTACATTTGAAATAGGTTCAATTCATCATAACACTGAGACCCTTAATTCGCTCTCATCCAAGCACAGAGTTATAACAGAAAATTTAGCAAATACAGAAAAAGAAGAAAATACATATCGCTCATGCCTTTCAGTGTCAGTGATGTTGACATTTTGGCTTTTATTCTTTCTCTTTGTTCCATGCATGCTTTTTTACCATGAAAATAGGATTATAATGTACCTAATATTTCACAACTTGCTTCTTTCACTTAATAATAGGTCTTTAATATTTTCATTCCTTTAATTTTATGCCTCATTTATTGATGGAATAATATTTTATAACATGGATGCTTATTATTTGCATTATTTTTAGAATAATTGCTTTAATTTTCATTACTATAAATAATATATAATCAATTGTATTATGAACACTGATGTACTTGTTTACTTCCAGGCGTGAGTAATGTTTTCCTTAGGATATTACTAAAAGTGGAACTTCTGGTAAAAGCAGAATTTTATTTTTCATGACCTTATCAGTAATTTAAGTGAATATGGGGTTGGGGGAAGGGTAGAGCTCAGTGGTAGACTGCTGGCTTAGCATGCATGAGGTCCTGGGTTCAATCCCCAGTCCCTCCACTGAAAAAAAAAAAAACCCAATTACCTACCCCTGCCAATTTATTTAAATTAAGTGAATACATATGTATATACATATATACATATTTGCATCTGAAAATAAGTTGTTTCCCAAGTTGTACTGAAAAAGTGTCTGAATTTTTATCAGTTTGTCACTTTTGGAGAGCTAAGATTATGCAGAATATGATGAAGTTCATTTCTGATGTAGTCAACCCAGAGTTCTGACTGCCACTGTCCCCACTGGACATCAACACTGACCTGGGACCAAGGAGTTCTGAGCAAAAATAGTTCATTGGCCATTCACAAGGCATTGTAATTGTGAGTGTGGTATTATACTGCATTGGTGGAACACAGACATGCAAACAGTTATTTTCTGTGCCTCCTTTTACTTGTTAAATTTTCTCCAGTGAGAGTGTTTCTTAGATCCACGTTCACTTATGTCAGCCACATATAGTGAACCTCATTTATGAACAAGGCAATATTTCAAGGCCAAATCAGACTCAGCACAAGAAGTCTCTCTTCTGGCCTGAGAGGTACGAGGCTCCTGACCCCAGGCTCACAGAGGGGTTAAGAAGGAGCCGGGGGACTGTGGCAGGAAAGAGAAGAGACTGGCTCTCACTTTTGCTCTTGTGCTGCCCTCCTCTGTGGGGAGGGTGAGGAGGAGGCCCAGTGCTTCTTCCCTGGGGACGAGGATGATGCTGGAAACCACCGATCAGGTCCAGAGGATGAGCCAGGGCAGGGAGATAACAGAACACGTCTCCAAGCAGCAGTGATGGCTTACCGCCCCGGGAGGGGATGGTCCTAACAGAGACCCATCTGCAAACACTCTTTAAGCCACACAGGATGCCGCATATTGTAGGTAGTGTTTAGTGTCGACTGTAAGGGAACCATTATGGGAAAATGCACTGCAGTGTTTACATCACTCAAAGTTCACAGCCTTGAGCTGGCCGTCTTCTCAGTCATGTGCATTATCACGAGAGAGAGCCCTCAGGAGACCAGTCCTGTTTTCTCTAATCAGAGAGGGGAGTTGTTTGGTAAGAGGCCTTCTTCTTCCTGTTCTTCTTCCTCTTCCTCCTCTCCTCCTCCTCCTCCTTCCTTCTTCCTCTTCTGCTGCTGCTGCTTCTCCTCCTCCTTCTCATCCTTCTCCTCCTCCTCCTTCTTCTAACGCTATAGAATTCTTTATTATTCAAGTCATGATTTTTATAGGCAATCCAAAGGTAATAGATGAAAGTATGGAGAACTAAACAACATTAATTTTATCACATACATCTTGTGATTATTTAAATTGCTATAAAGTATATATTGGAGAATTCCCTGCTTACGTAAGGGAAAAAGTGAATGTCTGCCCTAGAAAGAGGAGTAACACAGTAAAATTTCCTTTTTGAAACATTTTTTTTTTGTTATTTATCTTGTTAGAGGTTATTTTTAAATAGTATGAAAAATTGCCTTTGAAAGTGACTCCTGAACAATAAATACTCTGAGAAGTAGCAGATTGTGGGTTTTACCTTCAATACCTTTTGTTCAGATGTGAGTAAGTACTGAGCAGTGCCCAGGAGGACGAGAGCCCTTGAGCCCCTAAGGAGTCGCCTGGGCTAGCCCACCGCCTTACACACGCGTAGACAGTAAACCTGTAAAGGTTAAAGTCGCGTAGCCAGCCTGGCCAAGTGTAGAGCTAGTCACCCTCCTCACGGTTCCTCTGCTAACACCAGCTGCACAAAGCGACCGATCAGGGCAACAGAATGTGCTGTTACAGACTTGGGAACGCGTTTGCGGACCCCGGCATGGCCACTGAGCCTGCCACCGGCATCTGAGGGGCAGAACGGCGCGCACAGGCGGTAGCACAGAAACTTCGCCCGTTCCAGCCAACCTGAGAATCCGAGCTCCTGCCGTTCTCCCACGGTTACTCACTCGGAACAAGTATGATCCAGGCAGATTGTTATCCCTCTTAATGATTTGTATTCCAACTCTTTCCCCTCCCCTTGGAAAGAACTTTGTGTTAATAACAGACAGAAGCCCAGTCTCATTAAGTGGCTGCAGGAGCCACTTCCGACTGAGAGCTGGTCTCCTCACTGAAGGCGCTGAGCAACGCCTGGCCTGGGTGACCCAGCCTGGTAGTTTTGGATGCTGTAAACAAAGGCTTATATGAGAACGTATGGCCTGGACAAGTGTATTTTGGTGGCTGATTGACGGAGTTAAATGATTTTTTCTCTTAAATGGAAAAGACAGAAGTGTTTCCATGATACTCTTCTCTCTGCAGTTCAGTCACCTGGGAATCTGGGGGAGCATCGCCTTGTGGCTGGTGTTCTTTGCGGTTTACTCTTCCCTCTGGCCAACCATCCCTATTTCTCCTGAGATGACAGGACAGGTTAGTTTTACTGTTGGTGGCGAATGTGCTTTACATTCTGCGTGAAACGTGATGTTCAATAACAACGGAAGCTGACGTTACCTACTTTCAAAGCAATTTGGAGAGAAGAGGTACAGTCAGTGCAGTAAACAGCTGGCAGTCCAGCTATAAAATCTGGGTGACATTTTAGTTATAATGTTACTTTATCTAAAATCTCATTGTTTCAAACTATCTGTATTAACCATTCTTTCTAAAATTTGTATCCTTTTTGCATAACTGATAATGTAAAAAAACTATAATAATTTCTGAATTATCTGAAATAGGTAATATTGTGATTTTATTTTTCATGCAATGTGCTATGTGCGTACATTATTTGGTAATGCGTGCATGGTAATTCAGAAAACATTTTGACTTAAAATATTTAACCAGAATAGACATTCCGTGGAGCTCCAGAAGCTCTAGTTTCTGGCAGAGGAATAGTGCTCCTGGGGTGTATGGGCCAGATAGAAGAGACAGGACTGTGGTTCGGTTAGATTGCATGTCAGAGACATGCTCCCAGCTGAGACCTTGCTATCTCAAAGAATTGGCTAGCCCTGGGAGGAGCCCGTCTCTCCCCAGATAGAAAGTGGTTTTTTTAAGATGTAAGAATTTCAGAGCATACAGAAAGGTTTAAATATATGTAATACAGAGCCTTACCCAGTCTAAAGTCAGTACAGTCCTGATTGAACTAAAGTGATCAGCCAGCCATTAATTAATTTGCTAAGCAGAGAGAAGAGCGAGTTCTCCCAGGGGAATGTAATGGCTTAAATGTTTTACACAAAATGTCTGGCAGTTAAACAAAGTTGTATTGCTGGGTAATACAGTGTTGAAACACCTTTGCATTCCTGAGATAAAACCTGTCTGATCAAAATATTTATTTGGTGGTTTGTTTACCCAATAAACTGTTAAGTTAGCTAATGCTATATTTAAGTTTTATGTACCTATTTATTTAGTTGATTTAGTAGTTCTAGATTCACATGGCTGCATCCATACCTTTTCTGGCATCTCCAGGTTTTTATGGAGGGGAGGAAACTAAAAGCTGCACTTGGTGCTTAATATTGGCAACTAAATGATTCTTATTTAAATACTGTTTATTTCTGTTTATTTGCAGGCCAATATGGTCCTGGTTTGCCCATACTTCTGGCTGGGTTTTTTCATAGTCCCCTTTGCGTGCCTGATTCAAAATGTAATGTGGAAATCGTAAGTTGAAAAATGAAGTGGTAACCAAAAAGTATATTGTCATAGTTAATCACCCTTTTCCAGTTATATGCCTTTCAAATTAAACTTAAGAGCCACTTTATGAATATTAAATGTCACGGAGCCTTTAAAGGAAGTAAGTGCCCTCTGCCTTTTGCCACTGGATATTTACCAGCAATCAGCTTAGGGAAAAAAAGATGGAATCAAAATGCATGAGCGAGAAACTTGGTAGTGATATTATTGAGTTCACAATTTTCTTCTGAAAAGAAGTGCACTTCTTCACTCTTTAGAAGTGTGACTTCTGTAACTTTTATCTATTTTTCAGGAGCCAAAATGTGATACCAGAGGATCACAGATTAAAAACTAATGATAAAATAAGAAATAGGAGGGAAATATAATATTCAAATTAGAAAGGCATTCTTTTCTTTTTCAAAAATTTGGAGTAAGAATCTTTCAAATATAATTCTCCCAGACTATTTAAATACTAGCTTAGACTATCTCAATTTTTTTTTTTAACCAAGTCTAACAGAAAGAAAAGACAACCAAGGTGTTAGGAATCTCTGTAGTCCCTAATGTTAAAGGTAATGTTAAAGGTAAAGAACCCATGAAATTATAAGGCTTTAAAATTAGAAATAATTGATATATAATATTAATTATTGCACATAACCTGTAGCATAAACAAAGAGGTCTAGAACATTATAAATTTCAAACTAATTAATAAGCAGAGAAAGGCATATGCTAGAAGGGATAATATTAATTTACTTTTCAACGTCCGCTTGTTCCTTAATTCCTCTATATACCAGGGCAAACGTAATTATAGACTCCAATGTGGAAGACTAAAATCTCTCAAATTCCCCACCCCGCAAATATGCCAAATTTAGCAATATACCTAAGTTAGCAGTGGGAAGTGGGGAGAAAGTACTAATAAGTTTGGAATATTGATATTAATTCATATTATCCTGAAAATAAGAAGTTTCTGGGGCAGAGACAGGCTAGTACCACTGACCTCTAGCAGTCGCCAAGCTGGTTTCCCTGCCCCAGTCTTCCCCCTTCGGGGTCATGAATGAAAGCTGGACGGACAGGCCTGCAGGTCTGACCGTTGTGCTGCAGGGAGGAACCTGAGCGTTTATGTAGGAGAGGAGCAGTGTCCCCACCCCCTCCCGAGGGGGGGCTCCGCTCCCTAACATAAACAAATTCTCCTTGGGTTTTCACCCCTTGGAATATAAATAAAATTCTCTGAGTGTGAGATGAAACCAGTGACTGTGAGCTTGCAATTCCTGGAATATCTCCACGGCTCCGGGTCTCATCCCTTTGTGAAATACAGACATTTCTGTCCCAACCTAAAATGTTTTCTCTACAGTCCCACAAGTACATCTTACCTTCCATTTGATAAGGTTTGCCATTTGAGGAGGAAATCATCCTCGTTTAATGAACAGTTACAGACCCAGTTTTGTATTTAAAGTTGTTATTTTGCTCATTAAAACGGTCACAATGGGAAGCCTGGAAATACATCATTTTCCATCTGGGGGGCACCTTCAATCTGACTGTAAAGAATGCACTGCCCCAAAGTCATTTACTTCGTACCCACGTGTTCCTGGTAGCAGAGCTGGGGCTACTGGGGAGGCAGGAACTTGCACTGAACTGGGAGATGTGCAAGACTCCCAATTTACAGTGAGCATTTCATGTCTAAACCAGAGCGCAGACTTCCCTGGGGAAATGCATGCCGGTCCTGTTTCAGTCTGTATTCTCTTCTGCTGACAGAAGGAGGTTTTCATCATGCTGTGTATATTCTGTCTCTGAGTTTAAAATATTTCTATTAAATTGGATGACACTGAAGTGTCTCCTTTTCCTGGGAAGAGAAGGCTTTCTAATTAAGTACTCGACTCAGGACAGTTTTGATCTACTATAGTTTATATTTTGAAAACGTGCAGTATCTTCTCCTAAGCATTCCTGTTCCTGACGGCGTCCCATCCCCATCTGATCCCCAAGCTTTTCAGTTTAAGTTCAGAACTAACTGTTGAGGAACAAAGTATTTGACCAGGTGCTCGGTGTTGTCCTGGAGGAGATGAAGAAGCATGGATCAAATGTTGATAACCTGCAAGTGTATACTTTTAAATATCGGTATCGCTGTAAAACTTAAAACTTGAAGTTTTGAGTCGTGGCACGTTTTGAATGTGTGTTTAACTTTTTAAAAGTTACTAACTTCTAGCACACGGTAGTAGCTTTCACATGATATCAGACTTCGCTTACAGTATTTGATTAGGTACATGTGGTATGTGGATGATAGGCATTTCTTAAAAAGCATAAGTCTTGTGGGCTTTTTTTAATGGGAGGATCATTACTGTAGTTTATTTTCCCAAATCGTTTATCTGAGATGGCATCTTAAAATAAGGTGCCGTATATTCACTCACAGCACAAAGCAGTTCATTTGTTAAGGTTGCTGTAAAATATGAATCCCAAAGCCACTGAGCCTTTAAGGGCAATGCTTCGGGTTTTGTTTTGTTTTAACCTCCCTGTATCTATTTCCTTTACTGATCTACTTAAATTTCTGCTTATAAAACATTCCATAATTCAGAATGATTTGACATCCTTGATGCAGTCCCAGGAAGACAGTTACATGAAAATTAACTAAAAATTAATTAATGCAAAATAATTCAAATACAAAAGTGACTTGAATTTTAAAAACCTGTATGTACTACTAAACTAATTTCTTCTAAACTACGTTGTACTTTTACGAAAGCACAAATTTCAAAGATTCCTCATTCCCCTTTGAACTGCAAATTCCAACACCTGTATTTACCACATCGCAGAGCAAAACAAGAACAAAAAAGGTTTCGTGCTGGGTTGGCTTTACTTACAGGGGAAGAGAGGCCTCAGCTAATAGGAAAGACAATGAAAAATTCACATTGCTGTTGGTTGCCTTTGCAGTGTGCTGGAATCTTGTAGGTAACCTTAGCCATCCTCAGTTAGATAGAAGATGCTAACAGACTCACACAATGGTTCTAATGCGAGCCCCTCAGTGCCCAAGTGCTCCCTTCTCTCTCTTTGGAAATCAGAATCTGTGGCTAGATGAAGCATTTGAACCTGTAAAATAAAGCGGCTTTTCTCTTCCAGAATCTAAGCCACACCTGGTTTCTTAGCCACATTTCCTTCGCTTTTTGTTGTTGATAAATAATTTCCTGTCAGTAACATCCTGGTATGTCTGATGGCTGATAAGCCTTGTGATCAGTTGTGTGAAGAGCATGGTAAAGTGTTTGTTTATATGTTATTCATAATTCTACTTCAGCCACAAAGGATTGCAAAAGATAAATGCAGTGCAGAAAAAGTGGCGTCGCAGGTTGTCAGTTCAACCACTGGCAGAACAGCTGCTGTCCAGCAAGAAGGGATGGCTTCCCTTTTTTCAGGAGCGGCTTTGAGAATGTGATTCCTTATATCACAGCACAGCGCTTAGATACAGGGGCTTTTCCTCAGGTGCACGCTGGTATTCAGGCTTGTTAATTTTTTTATAATGTTTTGAAGTGGGCGGCATCAGCTCTTTGACTTTTTTGTTCTAAAATTTGACCATTGACCTCTCTAATTTCTCCCAATCCATCAACCTTCTTTTCTCTTATAATCGTCTATCTCAGCTAGCCTACATTTTGTAAACCATCAAGCCTGACTAACCTCCTAAACTCCTTTGCACATTTCTGTTGTACTGCCTGAAGGTAAAAACAGCCACGACTAAACTGTAAGTCCACGAGCTGTCCTCCGCTCTTCTTCTTTGCACCTGCCTCTGCATTTGGGCTAAAGGCCAAATCCTCCCCAAGGCCATGGACGGCCTGCTCCCTGCCCATCTCTCTGCCTCCTCGGACCTGCTCCCTGCACTCTTCCAACCATAGGGCTTTTGCGTATGAGGTTTCTCCTGCCTGGAATGCTCTCCCCCACTCTCCTGTAGTTGCTGCCTCCTCCTCCTTTTCCCTGCTCGGTCTCCACTTCCTCAGAGGAGCCCCTGCTCACACCCTTGAGAAGCTCCCTCCTCTGCCTCGTGCTGTCATGGCATCACGTGGGGCCCCTTCCGGCATACCTGTACCCTCCTGACGTTGCTCATTTGTTCACTTCTCTGTCGCCTGTCTCTCTCCATTTGTTGGAAGCTTTATGAAAGTAGAAACGATGTCTGTTTTTGCTTTGGCACCTAATTACGGCTCAAAAAGATATTTAAGGAGTTGCACGAGTGGATGAACGACAAATGCCTGAATATAGATACAGACCCCAGTGGAAACCAGGTGCCACAGAGAGACGGGCATCTGTCTGGGTTGCCTTGTACGTTTCAAGTCACATATGCACACCCAGCATTTGAACCACATTTGAACGGTCCGCTGCACCGTTAGAACTGCTGTAAATGGCTAGCCCTGGGGCTCTCGGATTGAAATAAGAACCAAAGGTAGCACACGGCTGAAAGAGCATTTAAACATCGAGATTCTGGAATGGCGACCATGGTAGAAAAATCTACATGGAATCATGAGTCAGTCCTAGCTAGGAATTTTCAACTAACTGTCAGGCTAGGTTCAAGCAGGTTGGCTCCTGCAGAGTCGGGGGTGTCTGCAGCCTAACACTCACCTGGAGGGACACACAGGCTTGTGTGTAAAGTCAGCAGAGCTTGGGGGGCTGGCTGCTGGTGCACACGGCCCAGCCCCTGTCGGGCATCCCTCTGGTGATGCTCTTGGCCACAAGGAAAACAGTCTGGTTTTCACACGCAGCCCCTGCCTGCTGCATTGCATCCCACCACACCGCCTGCAGCCGAGGGCTGTCCAGCTGTCACCCAGGAGGGGAGAAATCGTTGCTTACATTGTGCAAAAGCTCATGTGTTATATTCTTTTTATCTTCCCATCTGATACAGGATTAGAAATACTTGCAAGAGGACTTTGCTAGAGGAAGTTCGGGAAATGGAAAGTAGCAGAGTTCAAGAACTTGATCTTCCCAGAGATTCTGAAAAGAGGTGAGCCAGTCCTCTTGGTTAGAAACCCCTTCTCCTTGTTTTTCCCACCTCCCCCTCCCTTCCAGGTGCTTCCACACGCTCCATGATTTCCCAGGCTTATTAAGTGCATGTCAAACAGGCATCCTGAACTTCACGTCCCCAGCATGCAGGCCCCTCTTGTCAGCTCCCTTTCAGCCGATGGCAGCTTCATCCTTTCAGCTTCTCAGGCCCAGAATCTTGAGGTCATTTTCACTTCCTCTTCGTCCTATCCCACACCCGTTGTGCCAGAAAATCCTTTTACCCTCGTCGAGATTTTAATCTCTACATCCAGACTGCCCCCAGAGAGAGCTCAGTTCCAGCTGTCTGACAAAACCTGGGTGCCCTCCTGAGTAGAAACGCGAGGCTCCTTCTCAGCAGCCACACCCACAGGCTTTCGTTATGGGCATGTCCTGGAGTTCTGAGCGGGCTTCCTCTGAACGAGCAGTATCTATCAGGGGTTATAAATGGGGAATTGGCCTGAACACATGTGCATTTTGAGTGCTTTGTGAAGACTCAAGGAGAGGGTGGAAAACAACGGATGGCGTGGCCTGGGCAAAAAGGCCCCAAAGCACATTTAAAAGCATTTAGGGAACAGCAAAGTCGTAAGGACAGGCAAATCTGAAGTAAATAAATGGAGTGAGTAATCAGTATCCGTGTATTTGGGATCTACTGAGTACTCAGCACTGAGAGCGCAGGGCTGGTAAGCATGAACGGTGACGAGGACTCTCACACAGTCAGTGTGGACAAGCGGCCGTTCTCATCAGTTCAATTCAACAGCTATCCTGTGACCCAACAGCTCCATTTCTAGGTATTTACCCAGGAGAATTTTTAAAACATCTCCACATATCCAGATTCATGAAGCTATAACAGACCCCCAATCATGTTCAACCCAAAAAATATTTCACTGAGATACGTTATAATAAAAGTGTCGAAAACCAAAGACAAAGAGACTTCAGAACAGCAAAAGAAAAGAAGTCCATCACACAGAAGGGGCCGCCCACATTGGCTCAGGTGCACCCAGATATGTAGGGCAATTTTTGCAGACCTAAAGGGACAAACAGCAGGACAATGCAAGAAAACATTGACCTTAAATGACTCATTTGACCAGGTGGACTTAACAGATATTTATATAACTTTCCATTTGAAAGCAACACAATACACATGCTTCTCAAGTGCACATGGGACATTCTCCAGGACAGATCACAGATGAGGCCACAAAATAAACTTTAATAATTTTAAGAAGACTGAAATCACATCGAAAATTTCTTTCTGACCACAATGGCATGAAACTAGACATCAATTATAAGAAGAAAGCTGGAAAAAATCACAGATATGTGGAGACTAAACAGCATGCCACCAAACAGCCAGAGGGGTTCGAAGAAGAAATCAAAAAGGAAATTTTAAAAATCTTGAGACCGATGGAAATGGAAATACACATGCCAAAACTTATGGGATACAGCAAAAGCAGTTCTAAAAGGGAGGTTCATAGTGATAAATGCCTACATTAAGAAACAAAAAAGATCTCAAATAAACAATCTGACTTCACACCTCAAGGACTAGAAAAAGAAGAATAAAGTAAGCCTAAATTTAGCAGAAGGAAGGAAATAACAAAGATCAAAATGGAAATAAATGAAATTGAAACAACAGAAAAGATGAGTGAAACTAAGAGCTGTTTTTTTGGAAATATAAACAAAATAGACAGATCTTTAGCCAGATTCACTGAGGAAAAGAAGAGAACTCAAAATCAGAAATGAAGGTGGAGAAATTCCTCAAAAGACTAGGAATAGACTTACCATATGACCCAGGAATCCCACTCCTGGGCTTGTACCCAGAAGGAAATCTACTTCAGGATGACACCTGCACCCCAATGTTCATAGCTGCACTATTTACAATAGCCAAAACATGGAAACAGCCTAAA